AAAACGGATGAATAACTAAATTTTAGTTTTGAAGAATAATATTCATATGATGTGCGTCTATTCGACAAATCCCGCAGGTTTGCCATGATCATGTTGTTCTTCAGGTATGGCTTAAGGATGTCGCTCAATGACATCGACGCTCTTCTGTCACTAGTGAGAGATCAAAGATTCTCGTCACAAGAAACTGTATATCGTAGCAGTTGTGACTTTTTTCGTTGGACAATCACCAAACACAAACGAACGAGTGTCAGGAGATAGATTTCAGGAGTGATGATTGGACATAGGATACACATGTCATCCTGTGGTGCTGAGATTGACACACAACATTCACGCCATTGCTTGAAGCATCGACCAAAAGTATGAATACGGTGTCGTGTCTCGAGGTCTCACCCCTCGCAGCACAGCAAATAATGAGCAGTGCTCGCACAAGTAGTTTGTGACATCATGTACAAACAGTCATAAGAGAAGACAAATGTGTAGACAAAAATGTCAAAACACTGTATGGGGTGTCAATCTGTACGTATCATAACAAAACACACGTAGATGGACGACAAAAACGGACGACATATCCATTAATAATGTCAATAGGTAACCATGCAACAACGCGATACTTCTTACGTATTTTTTTATCTTCGATCAGTGTCCACGCGATAAGGGTTGAACTTTGCAAAGCACCATGTTCAGAAAACGCAAAGTCGTCATATTGCACACAACATTGTCTGTAGTGTTGCAGGATGTAAAGCAAACGCTCTATAATGACATTATCCCCATCAACGGTGATGATAGATAACAGTACACCCTTCCCTGTTGAATGATATTCAAAACTACCCTGAGAAATGCGTCATTGCGACCGTTAAATGCGGTGGCTGTGCGACATGCACTGTTTCAAAATCGGATTTTGATGTCACTGCGAACTTTATGAACTGTCAGATATCACAAAGCACGAAATGCCAACTTATTACCAAATTTCATATGACAGACAATTACGATGTTCGTCGACAAGCAAAGACACAATTATCGAACTTGAAGATGTACATGCATGTGAAAGACAACTGTCTTTAGGGATTTTATAGTGGTCCTCATGACAACGATCCCATGTTTGACTACCACATTGGATCTGCAACCAGACCCGTGCATACAATTGAGCATGATATTTTTTTGCACATGTTGGATGAGTTCAGAGCAACTTCACACTACAAGTTGAGGCACATCACACAAAGCAATGTGTTGAAAAAGTTGGATGCGAGGTTGCGGACGATGAGCGAGGGAAACAATGCAACATACCCGCAACTTGTGCTCCCTGTTGCAATAGGTAGCGACTACGTTTCACGGGAGGGGCGTTTTAAAACAATGAATAATTGGTCAATTATGATAGTATGTGTATTCATAGTGTTTAATATCATCTCCAGTACAGTAGGGAAACCTATAATAACTTATTTCGTAAAACCAATGAAACTGTACATTTTAATGTTTTTGTGCACGAACGACTCGACAAATTTATTTGACGCATGTCACAATCTTATAACAGATTTCATAACAACTATCAAACGCACCTTGGGTCATTATCAAACTTCCGATTGAAAACTGTCAAAGTTACGGGACCTTTTTCGTTTAAGGGCGTGCATCGAACGGTCGGGTCTCCCATACAGTTTCGAAGTTGATGTATGAGAGCGCCACCACCAAAAGTTTTACAAACGACCTTTCCAGTCGTCGAACAAAAGCAAACCTTCGTGTCAACATACATAATGAATACACAGGCCGCACGTGACACAATAATATTGCGACTTCGGTTTTTTTCCAATGATAATATAGGATTATATGAACACCCGGGAATGACGAAAACCGGCGAGAGGATACTTTATTGTCCTTCCATGCAAGGAACACTTTCAAAATGCTTTTAAGATATACATGTCAGAAAATGGGTGTAATCCACCAAACGATGACATGTTCATACGCAAAAAAAATGAACTTGCCATCCCTACAACTGACGATGAAACAAACTGTGGGACACTTATGCGAACAGCGAGGGCTTCACCCAACTTCCACGAGAAAGTTGTGCATAATGATGTCACTGTGAGGGCATGGTCGGGAAGTATGCGGTATTCATCTGTGGCAATGATTTTTGTCATTAAACCACCAGTCCCTCCGCCTCTAGAAACCGTCGAACTATCGGTAGCTTGTAATAAGCCATTTTTGGTTGCACGACCGGTTATTCGCGACCTACCGGGTCCCAGCCTGATTTTTCATTGGAGATGTGGGACCTAGTAGGCCTCAGGCGTTCAAAATCCCGTCGTCACAGCCCAATGTCCGAAGTGTTCCTTCCAGATATTGAAGTGATATCGATTGTTGTTTTTTTCGATTTTCAGCAAAATAAAAAATATTGTGTATCATGGTAACCGGCGTTCGGGATGGGCCGAACGCCCCACCCGAACGCCCGAACGTATGGGACCCCTTGGGGATGCGTTCGGTCGTTCGGGCCGAACACGGAAAAAAAAAAAAAAAAAAAAAAAACCTCAAAAAAAGATATGTTATGAAGAAAACTAAGTTAAGCAAGATTTGCGCGAGCATTACATCCAAATTGCTTACCAAATTTGAAAGCAAATAAAAATACGGAGAACAAATACTAATAATAAAAATAAAAATAACAAAAAATAAAAATAACAAAAAATAAAAATAACAAAAAATAAAAATAACAAAAAATAAAAATAACAAAAAATAAAAATAGAATTAAATTTAGTGAGCGCAAGAGCACGTTTTCGACATCGCCATCTTCGACGATTTTTCATTTTTTTTTGGCATAGCTAAAAACCCTGAAAATTAACAGATGTGTACTTCACATCATACAAAACCCACTAAAACAGTTTCAAAAAATAATAAAATTGTTTAGACCCTGAACTAAAGTGAAAACAAAAAGTAAAAAGTGAAAAAAAACGTGGTCGAGCACGTTTTAACACCGCCATCTTTGGAGATTTTTAGTTCTTATTTGGCTTAGCTAAATGATATGAAAATTAATAGGCATGTACCTCACGTCATAGAGAATGCACAAAAATAAATTCAGAAAAAAAACATTATTTGTAGGCCCCAAAATAATTTTTGGCGGGGGCCGAACGCTGCTGGGTTCGGACCCCGTACGGGACCCCGAACGCCCGTACGTACGAAGGTCGGCTCAGGGACCTCCGTACGTACGGCCTGGTGACCCTGTTGTCTATTTAGTTTTCTTGTTATTGTTTCGTTATTTTTTTCGTGTTTGTGATTGTTTTTTTTTGTTTTTTTCTTCGTTCTATTTTCACATGGTTGCCAGCGGGGAAAATACGCCATCGTTTTCGGCCAATAGCCCCACAACAAACGAGTAACGAGGCGTCCCCAAGGCCATCCGTTAAAGTCAACGATGGGTGGCTCGCCATCGTGCACGTATCACGTTCCCACGTGGAGCCCTATTGTCGCGGACGAAACGGTACAAGCGGCCACCCATCGCGGCCCGCCGCCTATTGCACCCTTTCTATATGGCGACTCACGCTCGAAGGACAGAGAAGGTGGGAACATTATCTGATATGACCCGGCAATACCTATGGGTTGATGGGGTGCGGGTCGTTGTCTCTCTCTCTCTCTCTCTCTCTCTCTCTCTCTCTCTCTCTCTCTCTCTCTCTCTCTCTTTGAATGTGGAACACCGCCTGTGCACCTCCTCCTTCGCATGTCACGCGGAAGACGAAGGGCCATAAACGATGGTTGTCGCCACGGTCGATGTCACCCGACAACCGACTTAGACGACTCTTGTCTCGTCGCTTCCCACAGACATCGGCGACAACGACAGCAGGTGAGTCATGTATTTGGATTCCTCTGGCCGCCCGATACCCCTCATGGGAAAAAGACATGCCCACTACCGTACGACCCTCGCCACCCCCTCTTACCACCATGTATTTGTCCATGCACGGTTCTCACTTTTCATGGGTGTGCATGCTCACAACCCCCCTAGAAGGCCCCCCTTCTCCGCCTCTGTCGACCTCCCTCCACCTACTTTATCTACATGTTGCAGTACATGCTAGAGACTCCATACGCGATGCTACTGGCTCACACGATCGTTCATGGTTGTCAACATCGATGAGAGAGAGAGAGAAAGAGAGAGAGAGAGAGATTCTTCTTTTTTTTCTTCTTCCCTTTCTTCTTCTTTTTCTTCTTCTTCTTCCGCGTCTTCTTCTTCTTCTTCTTCTTCTTCTTTTTCTTCTTCTTTTTCTTCTTCTACTTATTTTACTTCTTCTTCTTCATGTATTTCATCTTCTTCGCC